TAAAACAAACCCAATGTCCCTACGATGCCCCTACGCTAAGATAATGAGTGGTGAAAATTAATCTGGTATTTTCGCCGAACACCGACTAGACATTATTCAGTACTGCGACCCACTCTCGAAGTGTGTCCAGTGTGTTGCTTCCGGTCGCCGCTGTGTATAGCGCTGACTCGATACGTTATTACTACAGCATTACTACATCCAGCGTAAGGGGCGGGTCATCACCATGGCGATAAATAACAAGACGTTTTTGTTGAGTAATGGCTGCGTCAATGACTGGAAATGTGAGAAAAGATAGTAGAAGGAAAATAAATTTCACTGTCAATGAATGACGGAAACACGCGAGGTTTCCCGAAGCTATCGCCAGAACGCGAGTCAGTCGCAGTACTGACTAATGTCTAGTCAGTGTTCGGCGAAAATACCAAATTTTCACTGCTGATTATCTCAGCGTAGGGGCATCGTAGGGACATGCGGTTTGTTTACCTTCAAGGTAGGACAGCTGATCAATAATACTGCAAAGAATTGTCAAAATAAAATGGGAAAAGTTTATTAATTCGACTAATACTGCAACATGGTTTCAGCATTTTACCGTTGTACGCTCTCCTTCTTTATATGCTCTTGATAATATGCTAACATGTACATAAATATACTATTACTAGCCAATCAGAAGTACTGTACGGTAAAATAGCTGAAGTGGATACTCTGCAGTATAAGGTTAAATATCCACTGCGAAATTAAAAAGGCAGTGGCTGGAGGTACGGCAGTCGTATCTCTAATTTACGAGGCTGGAGGAACGGGAGTCCATTCGCTTTCATACTTAACGACACAAAGATGGCGGTCGGAGGGCGGCAGATTTCGAAATAACGCTTTGGGAAATAAATTCACGATTTGAGCTAGAAACACCCGGATTAGGTATGAAAATGAACATTATTGTAAACTTTACATCAGAAGCTCGCAAATAATTGCGTCAGCCCTCAAACAAACGCCAAAAAGGGGCTTCAACGAACGACGTCTGCCGTACCTCCAGCCAATCCGAATTAAAAACAAGCCAAATGTTGTTTAACAACATTGTTGGTGGGCATATCGAACGTCTCTGGATTAGTACTACGAGTACTACTAGTACTGCTACTGTGTGGGTGCGTGTGAGTGTGTGCGCATGTGCATCTGTGCAGGGCCATAATGGGAGAAAGGGCTTTGGCCCCCTCACCCAGAAATGTCTAGATGCGATACGTGGCCAATGGCACTCACCTTTCTAGGTGGCGGCCCGCAATGGTGGTCACAAAGCCTAAAACACACCATGCACATGGCTTCGCCACCTGCCCTCCCGAGAAAAAACAGGTTAGCTATGCTCCTGGGGGTAGGTGCATCATCGCGCGTACGCAAAATATTTTTCGTGAATCTTGTGTACCCAATCGACGTGGCTTAGTTGCGATTCATCAACACAGCTATTTAGTAAATTTGCGTACGATTTCGCGTACACAAACGAGGCCGTTTTAGGTGCGATTCATCTAGCTAAAATTTATGTAAACCTTTGCGTAACTTACACGAGCTGAAGAGGTGCCGTAAACCACTCGAAATTTCCGCAAGTGTTTCTAGCATACGGCAGCATGCATTATTTTATTGAGAAAACATAAAATTACTACTGAACTAAAAATAAATAAATAATTACCATACTACACAGACAGGTGGCGCCTTTGACACTTCTTTTGTCATAGCTTGGCATTGTTTTTAGCTCATCTGACATAGTCAGATGCAGCTTGTAGAATCGCATGAGCGTGCGTCCGTGCGTCCGGCCGTCCGTCCGTGCGTCAACAGTTGGGCACAAATCTTAACCGCTCAACGTACGGTCACGATATTCGGGACGTGGGGGGTAATCCGAAAACGAGTTGGGATGTCGAAGCTGGGTGTCAAAGGTCAAAGGTCAAGCAGTGTAAAAGAAGGGGGAACATTCCCTCTTTAAAGGGATTCTGACATCTATAGCGTATTTAGCCTATTATATGACATTGTAATTACTTTTAAACATGTTTCCTGACATTTTTAGAACATATTATGATCAAACCTGCTTTTGATTACGTCTATGATCGATCTTGGACTACGCAAACTTTTGTACAGGCCGCCATAATACTCTTGAAATGCCTTGCGTGTTTGTTGAGTGGCATGTGCTCACTTGTTTCACACATTGGAAATAGCCGAACTACGTGTTGACGTATCTTCTGTCAGTTCTGAATCGGACAGTAACCCCGAGGAATTTCAATATCTGACTAAATCTGCCACCAATTTTGCACCGTACTCTTTTGAGCCCGAGTGGAAAGATGGGGAGGAACGGGTAGCAGACAGTGTTGGTGATTCGCTTCAAGTTCAACACTGTGTCACCGGAACAGCTGACGATTGGTGGAGCTGCTGCTTGTGCCAAATGATGTTATCGAACAGAGAGTGTCTTTGTTGTCAAGAAATGACACCAGTCAGGGAACACCTTCAGCCTCGTATGTTTCAGTTTTTCAATTAGAATTTTCGATGGTAGACAAGCATGCTGAGTTTCTGATGCAAATTTGCTGCTAGGCTAGATACAATAATGGCTCTAACTGGCTGTAACTCATTAACTGGCTATAATGCTATAACTGGCTAGATACAATATTCAATAATGTAACCCAACACAGAATAGGCTCTAGCATAGGGTCTATTCCCTATAGCCTAGGGCCTATATAGCCTAATATACTGGCTATAACTGGCTATAATGGCTAGATACAATAATGTAACCCAACAGAATAGCCTAGGGTCTACGTTCAACACAGTGCAGGGTCTAGGGTCAACGTCAACACATGGTAGCCTAACCCAATGCAGTGTCACAGTCTAACCCAACCCTGTGTTGGATTATGTTGTATTTAATTACTTCCCTGCTAAGGGCGATCAGCCAAAAGGTTCGGCCTATGCTGGCTACAGTACATGCTACAGCTACGGGATGGTGGCCCAGGATGCAATGATTGATGACAGAACAATAATTATAACATTAAAAAATACGTTATAAGTAGAGTACCCAATCCCTTTGACATAAGTATATTATTTATATATAGTATAAGTGACAATTTGCTATGTTGACTTAGATGTTACATGTGACTGGATAATCTACTTTGACTGCATACACCCCTATCTGAATATATATGTGCTGCAAATATAGAAATCTTTCAAATTAAATTAGCATTTATAATTTGTTTGGTTTAACAGTAGAGTGGTCTTTTAAGTTTTATTTCTAGCATCTTAGCTAATACAATTACACGTTTAATCTACAATTAACACCATAAAAGAAATATAAAATGACAGTAGTTTTATACGTGTGGTATTTTCCTCTGGTATGCATGAACTGGGCACTCACATTGGTAGAATAGTACACAAATGGAACACACTATAAGGTTTGTATCACAGGACTGGCGGATAAAAGGGAGTGTAGAGATAAGCAAATAATTCATGAACATATTCTTATGTGGTTGTCCTGGTACACTGTTGTAAAGGGCATTTATTATATATATACATTATAACAGTTCAATAACTTATGCAGCACTCAGTTGATGTCCACCCATCGAAGCATGAGAAATGAGTGCATCTAATAAGGAGCATCTAATGTCATGTCAACAAACAATTTCATACCTAATATAGTTTGTAGCAATGTAATGAATTAATTAGGATACATGTTTAATGTCAGATTAAAATCAAACAATATTCATGCATTTTTACTTCTGACAAAACAGTTTGACGAGAAAACAGTCTTTGCAAACATCGACCCCAAGTCACCTGATATCTACCGTATCGCGAATCAGATGCGCCGTGAAAATCAGGATGTTGTGGGTGAAAAGCCGGTGCGAAATGATGTTGGGAAGTTGTCTTTGACTGATGTGGAGAAGGAAATGGCATGGTTACAGCACTATAAGAGACTGCTGAACGTTGAGTTCCCATGGAACCCTGACGACCTGTCTGTGGAAGACCCAGTGGAAGGCCCTGCACTACAAATTTCCACCGAGATGGTAAAAAAGGCCATTGACAATATGGAAGCTGGTAAGGCCGCAGGCCCTTCGGGTATTGTGGCTGAAATGTTTAAGGCTGCCGGTGATGCGGGTGTTGCCCTCATTCGTGACCTAGTGGTATCAATCATACGCGATGGCAGGGTCCCTATGGATTGGGAAGAGAGCCTCATCGTTAACCTGCACAAGGGTAAGGGTGATGCTCTAGACAGGGGTAATTATAGTGGGTTAAAGCTGACTGAACAGGCCTTGAAGGTGCTGGAGAGAGTGGTGGACAATTCTATCCGGCAGCTGATATCAATTGATGAATCTCAGTTTGGCTTTATGCCGGGCAGGGGAACTTCAGATGGTATCTTTGTTGTCCGTCAACTGCAGGAGAAATACCTGGCCGCCAACAAGAAGCTTTACTTAGCCTTTGTGGACCTGGAAAAGGCGTTCGACAGAGTCCCGAGACAAGTGCTGTGGTGGGCGATGAGGAAGCTTGGGACAGACGAGTGGATTGTGAGGTTGGTGCAGGGCATGTACACCAACACTCGTAGTCGTGTGCGTGTCGGTGGTGGTTTCTCGGATGAGTGTGAGGTAAAGGTAGGAGTCCATCAAGGGTCGGTGCTGAGCCCCCGCCTGTTCATCATGGTACTGGAGGCTCTTTCGCGGGAGTTCCGTGCTGGCGTCCCCTGGGAAGATCTCTACGCCGATGACTTGGTGATTATAGCAGATTCCTTGGAAGAATGCATGGCAAGGCTGGAAGTGTGGAAGGCTGGCATGGAGGAGAAGGGCCTCAGAGTGAATATGGGCAAGACGAAGAGCATAATTTGTGGTGCTGAACTTGACCTCTTGTAAGACTCCGGGAAGCACCCCTGCGTTGTGTGCAGGAAGGGAGTTGGGAGTAATTCCGTCTGCTGTTGCGGCTGTGCACACTGGGTACATAAGAAGTGTAGTGGCATAACAGGCCGACTCAATGACGACCCGGATTTCCGTTGCAAGCGGTGCATGGGCGATGCCCGCCCATTTGATGGCAGACCACTGTTAGAGCTGCAGATTGGGCAGGGCAACCTGGAGGTGGTACCCTCCTTCTGCTACCTTGGTGATACTCTCTCGGCGGGTGGTGGCTGTCAATTAGCCACTATCATTAGAGCAAAGACCGCCTGGGGGAAGTTTCGGAAGCTGCTTCCTGTCCTGACATCTCGACATCTGTCCCTCAGGACTCGTGGTCATGTGTATGGCACCTGTGTCCGTAGCGCCATGCTGCACGGGAGCAAGACATGGGCAGTGAAATCTGTTGACTTGCAACGCCTCCGGGGTAATGACAGGGCAATGATCAGATGGATCTGCAATGTCACAATCGGGGATTTGGCCCCTTCAAACGAGCTGCTGGGCAGACTGGGTATCTTGGACCTTGATGTCGTATTACGTGAGAGAAGACTCCGCTGGTATGGCCATGTTCAGTGCTCCACCGGTGCCATCAAGATAGTGGGTGAAGTTCGAGTTGTTGGTGTAAGGAGACGTGGGAGGCCGAAGATGTCTTGGAAGGAGGTTGTGACGAAGGATAGGGAACAGTGGAATCTCTCTGCTGTAGACCCCTTGGATCGTGTCACATGGAGAGCAAGCGTGAGAGCTGCCCAAACTGGACCGAGCCAGATTCCTGGAGTGGGTTTCTACTGATGTGGATCTAAACCATTGAGTCCAGTGTAAAATAAAGAAACCGAAAAACAACAACAACAACAACCCATTCAGATGGATTTTTTATACTATACCAATTTCACAGATTCGATGGATCTCCTTAAAACATGTAATTAGAAAATAATGTTAACGTGTTCACAGATTCAGTGGGGGAAAACTCCATCATTATAGACAGTGTAAAATTAACTAGATTTATTGTTATTTAGTTGTGAATTGCACACTGTACTGTGGCCTGTACTGCATGTTACAGTGCATGTCAGCACCATCCCCTTGCTGAAGGTTTTCTCAAATCACATCACTGGTGCTCCACAAACCGGGCACCTTTTCATCAGTTCGTCAATGCACTGTTCGAAACAGACAAACTTGTACTCTGTGATGACGTTACTCCTCTCATCATCCATCTCATCCATGCCAGCAAAGGACCCTGAAGAAGGTGGAAGATATTCTGATCCACTTGACATTTCCTGCAGATAACAAATTAATATTATTAGTTGCTTGCTACATTAGTAGGTTGCTATATAAGTTGGGCGACCTTCATGAAACGATAACCATGCAATGTCAAAGGTGGTATCTTGGTAAAGGCTGGTTGATATAGCATATATATATATACATTATGAGCATACATTTTGAAACATTACACTGGGATATCTATATGCACACAACTATCTGTGTAATGGAATAGTTGATAGCATATACATATATATATATATATATATATATATATATGCTATGCTATACGAGATGAGCAATAACTTCTGGTAGCGTGCCTCATGCTAGGCGGGGTGAATGTTGATCCTCGCTGTACACGATAGATGTTCAATCAAGAATCTTCATCACTTTCAATTCTGGTTTTCTGAAGGCTGTAGAGTAAACTAATGTTATATATTTAGACATCGTTCATGAAGTTTTGAAAAGCATTACACTGGTATAAATCTGATTGTACGCAAGGACTATCTGTGTAAGTGAATAGTTGATAGCATAGTATACTACTAGTATATATATTATGTATTAGATATAGTATATATATATATATATATATATTGTAAGCAGGCAATTTACATGAAGGTAGCTGCTGCATGTGAAAGTATCAATGCTTGACTTGCTATAGTGGTGGACGGGATCATAGCCAGAGTAACATATGAGAAGGAGAAGCTGGCTTTGCCACGTTGGCAAAGATGACTCATCTCTTGTCAAGAATATCCTAGCGCAAGAGGCCAGGGAGGGGTTCGCGTGTCAAACTGCGCAGTAGAATTTTAAACCAAGGAGCGAAGAGCGGGGAAGTCGCCCGCTCGGTTTGGTTACCCTATTTGCCAAAGAAGTGGAAAACTGTGTCACGTGAAGAGAGCAGAGACGACCAGTTCGGGCGCTCATATGAAAGCAAAGGCGCGTGTCGATTTCAGGAGCGAGAGAAATTGTGTAGTTTAGCGAGCAGACAGTTTAACAGCATGGTCTAACTGGTTGAGTATACATATATTTTTGACTGTAAAAATAATTTTAAAAGTTTCAAAAGCTTTTCCCAATTAGAAATATTCACAGCTTAATTTATTTAATTAAGCATGCTTCAATTGAAATTAGCATGCATGCGTGTGTGTGTATGGTGTGTGCGCGTGTGTGTGTATGTGTGCGTGTGTGTGTGCGTGCGTGCGTGCGTGCGTGCGTGCGTGCGTGCGTGCGTGTGTGTGTGAGAGAGCGATTGGTGACTCTTTTTCTCTAACTTTAAAGTTCCTCGCTGATACTGACAGTGGCACCGTGTAAGCCTACCTATCATTGATTATGTATTGCTAGCTGTGACTGTTAGAGATAGGCATAGAAAAGGACATAGATTTTGTCACTCTGAATAACGTACCTTATCAAAACAGTCTTCAGTGAAATGATTAGAACATAAGAAGATTGCCTTTGGCAGGTTGGTTTCCGGTCTTCTTATTGGTCTGAGCCATCGCCTAGCAAGAGATTTGTTTCTCCTGGGCAATGCGTGAAACGAAATGCCTGGATACGTTTTAGCCTGTTCTGGTGTGCCAGAAAAGTTATTCCAACTTTAACAAGTATTTGAGTGACTAGTGCAACCTACAGCTCCCCAATACACCATAATAATTACAAGAGTATGGACAGAATAGTAGGAAAACCACCTGAGTCACCTGCAACACACATGTACCTAAGCAAACACCATAGCAAAACAAGTGAACACGCGCCACTCAGCAAGAACGCAGGGCATTGTGGGAAAATCATGGTGGCGCCCATGAATATCAAAGACATCATCAAAAGCAGGTTTGATCATAATATGTTCTAAAAATGTCAGGAAACATGTTTAAGGAGGCGTATAACAGTAAGCGTCCGCGATTGTTCACCGTTGCACTACTTCGTCTCTAGAAAAGGCCTTTTTTGGCATTTTTTTTCGCCCGAATCGCACTAGAGTGCAATAATTGAGCCATTATGCCACGCAAGGCTTGGATTGCCTCAGTGGACGTGGAGAAAGCAATAGCAAGTAAAATTATTTTTGTATTTTGTGTATGTTCGTGAGATCCGTCAGGGGGCGTGTCAGAGCGACCGGTTGGTGGTCTTTTGTGTATGGAAATGTGTTCAGACAAGCTTTGCAGAAATTCGCATCATAGGAGCTGGCAAAAGTTTTCGAGGAGGAGTATGAGAGGCATGAATCTGTAGTTATTTCCACACAGCTGAATAAAGTGTATGGTATGTTGTAAAGCTGGCTGTAACAGTGTGAGTATTTTATTAATATCTGCTTCGATGCTTATTCAGGCCTGCAGCCTCTAAGTGAGCGGCGTTACTGATATAGCAAACCTGTAAACGTAATTACAATGTCATCATAATAGCGGCTAAACACGTCTTATTTAAGATGGTCAGAAACCCTTTAACTAAGGTATAGAGGCAGGAAATGCAGAATTGCGGAAAAAAATCTAAACGCGCTCGACCTGAGGCCTCGTCGATAGTTGGTGTATAGCATCCATGGTAGGAAAAGCCATCACTGTGGCCGAAATTGTGAGCGTCACGGCTGAAAGGTCCATTCGGCACAGCGGCAGATTTTAGACATTTTCTGAGGACATGGTCTGACGGAGCGCATTGAAAACTTTGTTTGTTTCAGCGGTGACCTAGCATTTTTATGGCTTATGAAAGGACCATGAAATGTACTTTCTGCTGACATGCCAAAGAGTAAGTGTCGGATAAACCTTTGACCGCTCAAGAGAGGGTTAAGACATGGAATTTGTTTACTGTTAGAAATAATTTGGACTGCCGGGTTGCTAGTAGAATCTATACATGGCCTGGATGTATGAGGCTAACTGTCACAGTGAATTTCAAAGCTAAATTTTGGTTGAAGAAGGTTTTATATGCTCCCTTAAATCGTATAATTTCTATGGCCATTCTGTACTGTCAGTGTTGTAGCATGTAACTTATGCTCACTGCAGTGCATGTGGTTGTGATAGTTAGCCGTGTAGTTTTTTGCCTGCGTTAATTAGTTACAGGTGGCAGTCTCTTTTCCGCCTGTAGGCTTGCCTAGGTAAAATGGTATGAGTGCGTTACCTATTTTGTCTTGCAAATGTTGTTGCTACTACGTACGATGCGAGCTCCATCTTAATCTTGAGACACTTAAACGTACGCGCCATTTCGTGGCAACTTTCATAACGATCCCAACGAACATTCCTTTGAGAAGGTTCCTGATACCATCCCTGTGCCTTCCACTGTTTCGGCGCGTATGTGAACACATTTGGGACTAACGAGCTTTTACTAGAATCCCACCACTCCACCACAGAGTCACCGCAGTAGACGTTAGATGAGCGCTGTCGCTCCGCGGCACTTGTTGTTATAAGCGAGTTCATAGTTAGCCGAGTCCGTGCATACACACGCACGTGTACGTACACACACACGCACGTGTACGTGCAGGGGTAGAAATTAGTTTGAAAATTTACAGGCCCGCCGGGCCTGTAGTATTAGGGATTTTACAGGCCTGCCAGGCAAATTACAGACCCTCGTCATTCCCTGGATACCGCAGCATTTAAAAAAAATAAAAGACTGAAATTTGAAATCCTTACAATGGTTTACGTTCGTACGCACAAACAGGCATTTAGGTACGTCTCCATCATCATCATACACGCGCACACGTTCACACACACACACACACGGACCATTTACTGTGTGTAATCATACATCTTGAATGATAAAGCTAATGTTTGGGACATATAGGGCAGAGAAAAACTACGCTCCATAGGGTCAGTTAGTTGATTTCATGGCAAGAGCAAATAAAAAGGTTGAGTAATGTAAACATCTAAGGAACCAGCCAAATGAGGCAAAGATAGGGTTGAGTTTTTCCTGGCAGACATGAAAGTTGAACACACCTACCCATACACTCGCCTCATCTTGAGTTTGTGGCTTTCTGGATTCGGCATTGACTGATTTAGTCACAGCTTGTCATGTCTTTTTATTACAGCTACCATAACTACAGATGCCAGTTGCCAGCAAAACTTGCAAACAGTCTTCTTTCTCTGTCCCACTTCATAAATTATGAAGTAAATTTCCTCTGCAGAAATATCCCTATTCTTCCGCCTCTTTTACAGTTGCTGTGTATATTTTAAATAACTTTGCTTTCACCACAATCTTTGAGAATGGTGCTATATATATAGGAGATGGGTGGCTATTAGGAGACGGTGGCTAGTTCATAAATGCTTGCTTTACGATACCTTACACGAACCCACGAACTGCAGCAGAGCAACGATACAATAAAATTCATACTTGGACTAGGTGTGTTGTTGTACGTGCTGCTTTGGGATTTTTGAAAAGCCAACATTGATTACCAATCCGATATTTAGATGACATTCTTCTTTTAATGCCAACATTCTGCCTGATGTGCTAGATGGTGTACAGAATATTGGGAGACAGGAAGCTATGCAAATGATAAAGCACATCACGGAGAGGTGTTCTACGTTAACCACGTTTGGTCATAACGTAGGGAAGCTTTCATTTAGCTCCACCTT